CTTAAAGGAAAGCACAGAAATGCAGTGGCTTTTTGTCTGTGTGTGTGTTTATACTTCAAGGGTATTTTGAAGTAAACTTCAAGCTTCTACTTCCTACTAAAATATGTTATTGTTATCAGTTTTTTCAGCTTTGCAGTAACGTCAGTTGACAACTTGCAGTAAGCATCAGAAGTTGACTTGAGTCATTTAAGCTAAGGGAGACCACCTTACTACTGCTATTTGAAAACTGAAAAAATATTTCAGCTGAAAAATTAGTCCTTTTATCACAAATTTTTAAGTTTAAGAACATAAATTTAAAATATTAAGTGATATGATGCACTGGAGTCTTTTCTATTATTAGTCTGTGGCCAAGGTCAGCGCGTGCTAAGCCAGTCTTAGGCCGTGTTTTTAGACTTACTAGTCTAAAGTTTTTTTTCAGACAGCATAACTCTTCTTAGGAAATATACTTGTTTTGGGTTGATGTTTATCAAAGGCCCTCTGAAAGAAATATATAAAGGATTCTTTGTAAGTTTCTTGCAAAGAAAGCTTTCAAACAATGAATGGTAGCTGAGATTCAATTATAAATGAAATAAATTCTCTATCACTTGACTAATAATAGCATTTAGTTAGATTTATGAATGAAGCATAGTGATTTTTAAAAAAATATCTTGTTGAGGACTTAATGCTTTTCCTTCTCCAGATAAAAGTGTGTATGCTAGCATACACAAGGAATCTGTGAGACTGCTTTTGCAGGTTTGTAGTGTATGTAGAGAATGTAGTTATGCTACTGTATGCTTAGGGTGAGTAGGCATATCTTGCAGACAGACATGACTTTGCATTCATTACAGCTTGGTCAGTAATATAAATAGCTTTTCGGTTGTGAATGAGTAAGCATATGCTGTTCTGCTCACCTCTGTCTAATTTTTCCCTTTTCAATATGTCAGTGCTATCAGTACTTTTGTGGGGGAATTCTGAATTCTTAACATTTTTGCTTCATTTTCTAATAAAATAGCCAAGTACTGTATGCAGATTAATGGATTTTATTTTCCATGATGCATGTTTGGTTCATGTGCATCAATTCAAATAATAATGGCAGTCTACCAAATAAGGAAGATTTCTTGTTTATATCCACTATATTAGAATTTAGAACTTTAAGGGTATGTCTTATATCTGTTTCTTTAGAATAGGTATATTTCTGAGGACTTTCTCGTCAAGCTGAAGGTATATCCTAGTGTCATATTGTATCTTACTCATGTGTCCTTGCTGAAAGTCATCATGTTATTCACTGCTAAGGATTCAGGATGTTTTCATGCTTAAATATGTTGTGTTTTTATTGTATGTGTGTGTGTGTGTGTATAAAGAAGTTGACCTGAGGTCCATGGTAGAAAACTTCAGTTTTATGGAAAATGTAAATAGGTAAGGGATTGCTCATTAGAGAGGTCCTTAGTGTGTTTTAGAACTATGCAAGTAAAGCTTCATCTGTTTCTTCCAGCTCATGTAGAAATGAGACAGATGGAATTTATATTTGGAAACTTTGGCTTCTGTTACATGTTTTTGGGAGGAAGTTTAACCAAGGATGATGTAGCTGTAGAAGAGTCTGTGCTGCTGGAAGTATCTGTCAAGGTGTGGTGGAAGACTTCTGTGGAATCTGTCCATGATGGTTCTGAACAAGTGCAGTCCTGATGTAGCCAATTACTTCTTCTCAGTATCTTGAAGGGTGCTATGGTTACATGTGTGTAAGAACTTCATGTGTGCATGTAACCTGAGTTCTTTAGCTGAGCTGATCATCTAATCAACTGATTGTTTTGACCTTGCTAAAATATTGTTTGTTTTCACTGCAGTTCCTTTATAAAGAAAAAAAAGAACTTAAAGAAAAGGCTCATGTTAAAAACAAGTAAGGAGGCGCTAATATCGTAATCGAAGGCTTCAGCGTAGATCGTTCAGATGCATCTGGTGAGATGTTACAAGAGTGACAAGCAAAGTAAACAAGCAAACAAGGAGCCAAGGGTAAAGAAGAGACTATTGTTTGTTTTCACTGCAGTTCCTTTATAAAGAAAAAAAAGAACTTAAAGAAAAGGCTCATGTTAAAAACAAGTAAGGAGGCGCTAATATCGTAATCGAAGGCTTCAGCGTAGATCGTTCAGATGCATCTGGTGAGATGTTACAAGAGTGACAAGCAAAGTAAACAAGCAAACAAGGAGCCAAGGGTAAAAAAAAGAAAAGGTTGATGTCATCAAGCTTGAGGAATGAGTGTAATGTAAAGAAAAGTATGAATGTATACTCATTTGCCTGTCTAAAATGAATCTCAGCATCCTGAGCTTCCCACCTGCTCCTTTGGCTAGCAGAAATCAGGTACTTAGTGAATGTCTCTGATCTGTATGCAGACTTGTCTGTTTTGACTCGCATGATAAGGAGCCGCTGTTGTAGAGCCATACAGCTGTACAGTATAATCAAATCACTTAAATGGCAAGGTTCACAGGCAACCAGCAATCAGACCTTTTTTTTTTTTTTTTTTTTTCCCGTGATCAGCTTGGGTATGTAATTCTGATTTGCAGCTACAAGTAAAGCCCATGGACACAATGTTTTGAACATATAATGAGGCAAAGAATGCAAGGAAACTCTGGAAGGCCAAGTTTAACTCTACTAAAGTAAAATATATAATTTTAATTCTTAGTTTATTGGCCAGAGTTCTTTACTGCATTGTGAAGGTGAAGAACATAGTACTGAACGACTCTGGGATTCTGTAAAAAGAAATGAATGCACTCCAATATGTTGTGAAGGTTACCATAGAAAAATACCATTTAAAAATGGGTATTGCTTTTTATCAGGGATTTTGATTAATGCACAGTGAGGTAAGAGGTGTATTCCCAGACAGAACAATGGAGAGAATATGGGACATTGACCGATCTGTCAGTAACATTCCCTTCCTTGAGGCTAATGAAGAAACTCATGCTTTCTGGGACTAAACCATAGTAAATTTTGCTCACACCAAAGAGCTGGACTAAGTTGCATGGAAAATATTACTTCTAAGACTTCCTAAATTCGGGCTATTTTGCTTTTGCAAACTTTGTAGCTCATAAATGTACTATGTAATAACGTAGTACTTGGAAACTAACTTAATATTGAGACATAAAAGCTAGAAGATTTATTAAGTGTGCAAAACTTACTGTCTTTCTAGATCTTATTTTATTGTTGGTGCTGAGAAATTAATGCTCTTACTGCAGTTCTGCCTGTGTTTTAGAAAGACTGTCTTCAAAAACATTTCTAGAAACTTTGAAGAAATTAATAGGAATTAATATCAGTTTGAAATACTGAACAATTTTAAAATAGAATAGATATGACAGAAAAATGTACCCAACAATATCATAAACTTAAGCCAAAAGTGTTTGAAAAGGATCAGTATCTTACAAAGCTGATTTTTGCTGTTTGTAAATGTTCCTTCTTCCCATATTTTAATGGAACACACAGGATAGAGACAAGAATGGTGTGAACAAGCAGAGGAAAATTGAGTGTTGAAGTTGTTATTCTTAATACCTCATGAACACATCTGTGTCACATCTGTGTTAATGAAACCAGTAGCTTTTCCTGGGAAGAGCCACATTAAATGTAATCTTGTTCAGAATGTACAGAAAGCTCCCAATAATAGTAGCAGTTTATTGTAACCTTACCATGGATGTAGCAATTCCAACACTCATTTTAGGAGTTTGTCATGAAGGTTGATTTAATTTTGGCTTTGGGTGTAGTCCTTGCATTATTTTAGAAATCCACAAGCCATTTGGTTGCATCCAACAAGTGAATCATTGTCCCTGCATGAGATTGGAAAGTGTCAATTAAGAAAACATCTTCAAGGAGGGTAGTGGAGGGCAGAGTTGCAGAATCCTATGCTGTCAGTTTTCATTTCTAATTCAGCAAGCAGACCTTCACCATCTTCTATGGCAGACACAAAGTAACATGGGGGAGAGGGGAAGATGCCTGTGGTTAAGCTAATGAAAAAACTGTGAAAGATCTACTTTGAGGAAATATTATAATTCCTCAGTGAGTGTGTCTCCCTTTTCTAGATTTCAAAGGTACTATTTCTTTATAATAATATGCTTCCTCAGTTATTTTACATAGCCATCATATTATTTAGAAAAGTAACGATATTTTAATTTTCCTTAGATTAAATTTTATTTTCTTTTTTTTATTTAGTTCTTTTTTTTCAGTCGTGGAACTATGTATACAGTAAACTTCTATGCATTGTTTTCACACCCAAATTGAACTGCATTAACAATATGATCTCAAAAAAGTAGGAAATCTTCCCCAGGAAAATTTTATATTTTGATGTACCTCTTTTCATGTGTTTATAGTATGAATTCTGCATCAGAATAGTTATCACTTTTTGCTTTTAAAATAGCACTGCAACAGTTCAAAATACAATGCAGCCCCATTTTCACAAACCTTGAGCAGTCATGAGATTTGTCCTGTAAAATTTGCAAAGCTAGCCCAGGGAAACACCAGTAGAGCAGGAGGGAGCATGGAGCAGCTGCTGACATTCCTCAGTTCTGTGTGCTGGACAGGAGCTTCCCAGCTGGCTACAGGTGGTGGAGTTGTAACAGGGATGCAGAAAGTCTCGGTGAGCTAACGTAGACATGGCTTAAGAATCATTAACTAAATCCCTGTTTCTTTCCATGGAAGCTTTCCCCCAAAGTCACATGACTTAGCGTATATACCAGATCATTACCTATCAGTGCAAACATATGGTGAAGTCTGTCCATGTTGCTGCTTATCTCAGAGACTGCAAGGGGGCTGTGTCATTTCAAGCAAAGCCTATTGGTGAGGGAGTTTCTATGCAAGTTTTCTTAAAGAAGCACTTCCTTTCTCATCATAATCCTGTGCGGAGAGCATACTGAACATTTCCCTCTGAGGCTACAGACCAGAAGATTTACATAATTCTTCCGTTTCTGTGGAAAGAAAGGAAATGCTGATAAAACATTATGTTATGACTATAAGCAGTTTATTTACCTATACTATGGAAAGGTAGTTTGCTGGGGTTTGAGATGCATTTCTCAGAGAAGCATGTTTTCGAAGATGACTTCACTGGAAGTGTTGTTGCTGCTCATGAAAGGATTCCTTCTGGAATCTTGGTGAGTTTGATGTATTTATTGCTAAATATGGGTATATCACTCACTAAAGCATAATTAAAATATCTAACCATGTATTGCCTGGGCTTAATACTGTGTGGAAAACTTTAATTAGGTGTTTAGCAGACTTGCTTCATTTCCCATTTTTGTTTTGTGACTGCTATGTACAGTGCTAGGAGCAATCTTAAACCACACCTAAATCTTTACTAGAGAGCAAAAATTTCTTTGGAGTTGTTTGTCTGGTTGGTTTTGATTGTTTTTGAAAAGTAGATCTAGTGCTGCAGTGGTCTTGTCTTACACATATTCCTTTTCTCTGCAGTACTTTTAGGTTACAAGACAAAAATTAGTAAAATGCTTGATGCAAAATCTTCTGGTTAAGTAAATGTCTTTTCTCGTAAATACATATACATGCAAATATAGGCAAGAAAAGATAAATTGAGGAAATTCATGGCTATACTTGATTTTTGTTTTGCCTTGATCTCCCAAAACAAATGCAACCTGACTGTTTACACTATGTGGTTTAATACTTTAAATAAAACTCAGAATGAAAGGAATATATTAATACTCTGTTGTAAGCTAAGGTATACATTTAATAAACTTTTTTTACAGTGATGATTGAAGTTCATTCTGGCTAAAACTGTTTCACTGTAGTGCAAAAACATCTGATAGCTTAGCCCTGAGAATGGGCACTTTTTAGTGTTGATGAGTCAGGCATTTGCAGTGATCAGTATGAGGCACTACAGTAAATTACTAGAACCTGGATTAAGTTAGAAGGGATCACCTCTCTCATGTTGGCTTTTAGAATGAAAAAAGAAAATCGTTTACCTTTACTAAAGCAGTGATCCAAATGCACAGAAAATTAAAGCTTGTGGGTAGCCTTTTAACTGTTGTGTGTCTGAGTAGTCCCAAACAAGGTAAAATAAATGATTCAAGAAAACACCTCTGTTTCGTAGTGGCTGAAAGTAATATCTTTGCTTGGTATTTCGTGGATAAAATCTCTCTACAAAACCTCCATCTCAAGTTATACAAACATGAGCATGAGTGACTAGTTTTAAAAATTTAACGTACCTGTTGTGTAGAATGCTAGACACTTAATCTGAGCTGTAGAATGTTTAATTGTTGTTTCTGAAAGTCTGTTCCTCATTTTATGGCATGAGGAATTGACCAGCATATATAAGGTTAATTTTAGACTGATTTGAGTATTTTATAGGTGAAGACACACAATTTTACTTTGGCTTTTGAACTCTAAAGTAAACATGTTTTCTCTTATTCTGTATTTACTTTTATGTCCTCAAGGAAAAAAACAAGTTATCAGTTTCTGTCTTTTGCTGTGTAATGGCTTCTTGCCAGAAAAAAATCTTTTTCATATGCGTTTTCCTCCTTCTCACTTACAGTAGCATTTTCTTACTTGTATTAACATTTCATCTTGTAAACAGGAAAGTATTACTTAAACGTTAAAAATCAATCTGTTTGGTGCATTATAAGTCACAAAAACTTTTTTGGGGGCTGTATTTTCTTAGCTATTGCTTGAAATAGCTAAGCCTTTTGGTTTGCTGTCAAAGAAGAGTAAGTAGTACTAAGTTAACTCAACTGTAGCTTTTACCCAGAGTTCTGGAATTTGGCTGCATCAGGTAATGTGTATACTGTGAACATCAAAATAAATAAAAGACAAATAGCATTGGCTTAACTTGGCTTTTCCATCAGACTTCAGCAAAACTGAATTGCAGAGCTAGAAACTGTTTTTAGCATCTAGTAGCAGGTAATGAAGGTAAATTGCTGTCAGCTTCTCTCTGCTTTCAGGACAATGACATTTATAATAAATGTTTTTTAGTCCTGAAGTGACTAAGGGAATTTTATCTAGTTTTTATTTTTTTTGCCTTGTTGCCTCTTAATGTGTGATCTGAGGTACTTCTATCACATTTGCCAGAGTTAACACAGTGATAATGTTGCATTGCAGCTATCTTTTAGACAAATTAAGCACTGCTCACTTCAAGCTTTCAGAAAATATGCAATAAAACTTAAAGCAAAACCCTAAACTTCAAAATCCCCTAGCTGCGTTTCTTTTGGTGTTTGAGCTAAATGTAACATCTTGTCTTTCTCAAATATGTATTGATATTTTATTTTTAATCGACCGTTTGCTTCATTTGCTTGCAAATCTTTGGACTTTCTTACATAGCAAATATTTATCACACAAACTGAACCTTTATATCTGAGTCCTTTGCTATAAATTAATAGTACAACAAAAAATAAAACTACAACTTGGTAGGCAATAATAGAAGTTGGTGTCTGATTTAGAATTTTATTTATTGACGATGTACAGGACAATATTAGCTGTGCAACTTAGGTCATAAAGAGCTATTTTCTTTATAAATCTTGTTTTTAATACTTAATAGATTCAAAGGTCCATAATTCTTACTACACAGAAGTTGTATTATTTATGATCATAGAAGTGGTTTTGATGTGAGCTAGACAACTATAGCTGAGATCTGTTAAAGAAATAACTTTTGTTACTGGAAGAAGAGAATGTATACACACACACACACACACACACACACACACACACACCAGATTCATGATTTCAGTCCTGTGAGTGTTTGATTGGTTTGCTATAGTCAGGGAGCATGAGTTACCATGTCTGTGAGGAAATCTAAAGTATTTATCTGTTGAGTTCACTTCTTACCTGTTGGTGTCATATTCTGATCCTTTAAATACTTGCTACTCAAATGTTAAAATGTCTTGCTAATGTTCACATTTTCAGGTCCTATTTACTGAAATGAAATATGAAGAACAGATATTCTCTTAAGAACTCCTGTTGCTGAGTGTGCCAAACATTTCTTTTAAAAAAATCAGTCATCTTGGAATTTTAAAACCAATTTTTTAATGTAAACCAGTATGTCATTGTACAGGAGGAATAATTGTTTAAACTGTAAAACAGTGATACTGCTGCTTTTCTGTCTTGGATTAGTCCATGTGATGCAGAAAATAATAGCTTACTTGACAAAACAAGTATGTTCAGTTCCCTGCTTCAGCCTTTTCTTCCAGCTGTCTGGTGTTCGACATGCTCATCTTTGTGAACTGATCTAGTTTACTAGAAAAACCTGGGTAGGTTTGTGCCAGCTGTGTCAGTGAACTAGAATCTGTTCATTAAAAGGGTGTGAGGAGAAAGGGATGAAGTGGGACCTCCCCTTTTTGGCAAGAGAGAGCCACTGTTTCCACTCAAAAGATCTCTGTTTGCAAGCAGTCAACTTTGCACTTGTGCATGAAACTGCTTAGAGATTAAACTGAATTTTATTACTTGCCAGTCAATTTTGATAGGGAGTCTGTTCAGCCGATCTCAGTTGTTGCTCTTTGATAGCCTGTTCTTTTAGGTTTCATTAGCCAGTAGCAAAGCTCATGCAGAAAAACATCTCCAGTATGTTAACTAGCATAGTAGTTCTGTGGATAGCTTAAAAAGTTTTAAATCTCGATAGGCAAGCCCATATCTTCTCTTTAAAATGCTGTGGAGAGGGAGGAACTTTTTTTTTTTTTTTTTTTTCTCCAAAATCCAGATATGTTTGGGTATTATATGTTAGGTTTGAGAAGTCTGAATTGGAGGCAGAAATACTTATAGACCTGACCCAAATCTCTGAAAACTACTTTTAACCTCCTGCATATTTACATTTACATTGTCACCATTAGATACTACAAAAACCCAAACCCATTCTGAATGAATGCGTTACCTTCTGTGCTATTGTAAGGAAGTCTTTGAAAGCTCAATTGGAAAAAATGGTGTGGTGAAAAGGGAATCAGTCTTCCGTTTTATTTGAAACACTATTTAGAGTACAGCAGAAATAAACTAGTATATAGACAAAAAGTCTGTAAACTTATTTGTAGGAATATTATACTAAAATGAAATTTTTACAATTTAAAGCCAGATATAAGTTCAGTGTTAGATGTTTTGCTTGACTGCAGTGGCTTATCGTTCTTCCACATAATGTCCTTATCTTCAGAGGCATGGTGTTGCTGGAGTACGTTGGGAAGGAGGTTGTAGCCAGGTTTTGGTGGGAGGATAGGAGAAGGGAGGGCTGCGCCTTCAGCCTCCTGGGGTACTTCCCATTAGAACATTTTCCCTGGTTTCCTTCCGCTTTCTTTTAAAGCTCAGATGTTTTGAGAAATCTTTTGTCTTTCTCTCTTCTTGTCAGTCACAGTTCACTCTATTCTTAGTATGAAATGACTAAGTCATTCAGAATGCCACTCTAGTATTTTAATGGTTTAGGCAGGTATGCAGTAAGTGATTGTGTTCTTTGTCTTTGCATTTCTCTCTTCTTTCCAGTGTTTGACTATAGCATAATCTTCCTTCTCTTCCTTTTCTTGACTTCTCTACTAAGCTCTAACATCTCATCTAATACGGACTTCTTCACCTGGACTCCATGTTGTTCTGGTCAATTTTCCTGCTGGAACAACAGCAGAAACTGTAGAAATTTGTTTTCACTTGACTGAAACTTTGTTAAACCTGTGGAAAGTAAATAGTGGGTAAGATAACTCTTTACCTTTAAAATAATGCATTACATGAGTGAGCAACCTTGACTAGGACTTCCTTTTCACATATGAAAATGTGGTACTTGAAACATAGTGCTTCTGTAGAAGAGGCAGTGGTGGTTGGCTGTTGAGTCACACAGTTCACTGCTGGGTTCCGCAAGTCCTGATTCTGTTGGTTTCACTCTGTTTTCTGTGAGCAAACTGCATTTCAACAGCTCTTTGAAATATAAGAATACAGCTTATTGAAGAGGTATACAGTGTAACTATGAATGATACCTATTATAATTTTACTTTAAATCTAAGAGTCCCAGTAACTTTGGTTATCTGCCATCTTCTACAGCAGGTAGAAATCTTGCTTGTCTAATTTGTAAAAGATGGGTGTCAGTGCTTTTCAAGAAGGCTTTGAGAAGCTCATAATTTTATGCTGCAAGTGGTTTTCAGTACTTGTTTGTTTTTGAAATACATTCAGTGGTGGTTTACTTTACTTGCAAAGCAAACACACGGGGAGGAACTTTTTTTTTTTTTTTTTTTTTTTTTCTTTTTTTTTTTTCCCTCTTTTTTTTTTTTTTTTTTTCCCCCCTTTTTTTTTTTTTTTTTTCCCCTCTCTTCGCATGATCTCTTACTCCTCTGGGCAGCTTGTGTCTCCCGTTAAACCTTTTGTTATTTTATTTAAGGTGGTTGAACTGTTTTTGAAATAGAACTGTAAAGGAAGAGTTATATGTAAAGGAGTTCTACAGAAACATTTCCTGATACTTAGATTTTTTTTTTTTTTTCATACTGCTGTACAGGTGCCTTCATTCTCAACAGAAGATCAATTGTACTAAATAGTAGGCAGTATCCAGAAAATGAATTGGGGTTTTCAGATACTTGAGGAATTAAACATCTATTAAATCTAGGCCTTTGGGATTTAAAAATTGCGTACTTTATGTGCTTGCTTACATTAAAAAAAAAAAATTATTTTTCCTTCCTCTCCCATAGTCTCAGACTATGAATTACGTGGGACAGCTTGCAGGTCAGGTGCTGGTTACTGTGAAGGAGCTGTACAAAGGCATCAATCAGGCCACTCTTTCGGGATGCATCGATGTCATTGTGGTTCGGCAGCAGGATGGTACCTACCAGTGTTCTCCTTTCCATGTCCGCTTTGGGAAGCTTGGAGTCTTGCGCTCAAAGGAAAAAGTGGTAAGCTCAGAAAGTGGGTTGAAACCAAGTTCTGAATGTCACTGCGTTCCTCCTTTTCTTTCTCCCCCTTCTCCATCCCTTTCCTTCCTTCTGCACCCCCTGCATATCCAGCTAGCAGAGTTAAGTGCAGAGCAGCTTCTCATGTAAGCTGTGAGAAGAGAGAATTTTGGAGTCCAAAACAGAACTACCTGTGGTAATGTAAGGGCTGTGTGAAAATATACTGCAAAAGAATAGCTTTTTCATCTAGTTTTCTCCCAGTGAAAGACTAGGTCAATGATTATTATTTAGGCTTTTAGATCGCCAGAGTAGTTGAGCAAGATTCAGCCTTCAACTGTCCTTAAATTTCTCTGCATTTTTTTTCCTCTTATAGGTGTGTTAAGCCCAGAATGTCTCCTTAGAGTCTTATTCTTTTGGGGGGATATTAAAATAAAAACTGCTACAACCGACTACCCCCCTCCCCCCCAAAAAAAAAAAAAAAAAAAAGCAGAGAGGAGAGGAGGAGTGATGAATATACAGTGGAATAAAGATTATTGTTGAAGCATGGTCGTGATAGGTTTACAGTTGGGCTTGATGATCTTAAAGGTCTTTTCCAAACATAATGATTCTGGGATTCTATAACTGGGGCTCCGAGTCAGTACTTTCCCCTCATATGAGTTATTTACATTAAATTGTCTCTTTCTGCAGATTGATATAGAAATTAATGGTGATGCTGTTGATCTTCATATGAAACTGGGTGACAATGGAGAAGCTTTCTTTGTACAAGAAACCGAAGAGGAAAATGTAAGGATTTTCTACTTCATCATAACTGTAATGCTATCTTAAGAGAAAAGATGTTTAAAGTATTTAAGTGTTTAAAGATGTTTATTATAATGTCAATATTACAAGCTGGATTTTCTATGGCAGAGTCCTGCATCGCTTTCATATCCTGCCAGGGTGCTTGGTATTCTGTAGAACTTTGTTATTGGTGATAGTGAACTATCTGATTAGAACATTATTTGAAAGACTTACTGAATTTTTATTTGCTTTGCTGTATTATACTCATTCTTGCTGCAATTATACATATTGCAGTGCCTTATAATAATTTTTTGTAGTAAGTTCTTACAACTGGTGTTACTTACCTCTATACTAGTAAAGTCCATTTAACTTGATGCAGTTTGTGTTTGTTTTTTTTAGTATAATTTTTGGTACAGTTTTTCACAGTTAACTAGTGAATGTTACTGCTCTAATAAACATTGGCTTCTCAAACTCGAGAATACTTCTTGTAAAATATCAAAATTTTGACCTTCTATGACTGGAAGCTAATGAACCTCAAAAGAAGGAAATACTGATTCCTTTTTAGTCTGGTTTCCTAGGGATATGGGACCTGTGTAATTGCAAGATTCGTTTTTGTTAAATTTCGAATCTATAGGCATTTTTTTCAGCAAGGTAGAAATGAAGAAGATTTAAACAGAAAGTTCCAAAAGGTTCAAATGAAAATAGTTAGAGGAGAGCTAAAAAATCTTGCCTCAGTGAGGGAAAGGATGCAGCATGAATTCTCTTCTGCTATTAGGAGCCATTACAGGAAAACAGCTTGATAGACTTTCTTCTTAAGGCACTGCATGTTTACTGTATGTAGTCTACTGTGGAGGAAGGGAGGAAGCACTCATTTGATGAACAGTTAAGTTATCATTTAAACTGGAAGGAAAAAAAAGAAAAAAGAAAGCATTAAGACTAGTACCATAAACAATAATGAGGTAAGACTGAGAGAGCTGGGCCTGTTCAGCCTGGAGAAGAGAAGGCTGAGAGGGGATCTAATCAGTGTCTGTAAGTACCTCAAGGGAGAGAGTGAGGAGGATGGTGCTGGCCTCTTTTCACTGGTGGCCGACAGAACTAGAGGAAACGGCCGGAAACTGAAGTATCAAAAGTTCCACAGGAACTTAAGGAAAAATTTCTTAACAGTGAGGGTGACAGAGCCCTGGAACAGGCTGCCCAGAGAGGTTGTGGAGTCTCCTTCTCTGGAGATCTTCGAAATCTGTGCCACGTGCTCTAGGTGACCCTGAGTGTGTAGGGGGGTTGGACTAGATGACCTCTAGAGGTCCCTTCCAACCTTAACCATTCTATGATTCATGAGAGAAATTATAACACTTAAGGAAAACTTGGGTATGTTTTAGCATGCATCATGAGTAAAATGAAAACTGAAAGCAGTTCTTTATAGATGCAGACCCTGTCAGTCACTGTTGAGAAGTGATCTTAAGATTATGGCTTAGTCTTATTATTATTATTATTTTGGTTTCTAAAAAGCAAAGGTGGTTACCATTACCTTTGTCCCTGATACAAAGTTTTAAAGAGACTATTGCACTTGCTTTTATATATTTTAATTTCTACCAAGACTTCCTTATCTGTGTATAATATGTTCTAGAAAGCTGATAGCTCATGCTGAAAGTATAAAATGAATTAGCTACAGAGCGGAAGATGGAGTTGGTGTTTAGTCCCCACTAGAGTTTTTCACTCTGTATTTCTGCTGCTGATCAAATATATCCTTGTGGTCAGTTCTCAAAATTATGCTTAAGTTATAAAACTGTCCTCATGGTCCTGTGTTGTTCAGAAAGCCTTTAAGTGGTCTGTCTTTGCTGTTTGCAGATCTTGACATCTGCAAGCCTCAATTATGCAAATCAGTGTCTAATGGCAAGAAGGTTTCTTTTTTTTCTGATGTCATTTGGAAAATGTATAGGAAGCTTTCTTGTGTATTTCATCTTACGTGGATACTTTGCGTTATACTTTCAGGGCTATTATAATGTGACTTTGAGGCATTTTTCAGTAAACTTTCTTTTGGGTTTGCTTCTGTTTTTTAAATTTTGTCTTATTATTCCAAATTATCACTAATTGTATAGAATGTTCACTTTGGAGGAACTTATGTGCTATCATTTTCTGAAATTTTTTCACTCTGAAAAATTTTTGTCTTCAGTGCTATATAAAGCTGTATTTTGCTCTCCCTTCTCCAATTTTCTCCATCTCCTAGATGGTGAAGCAAAATTTATAATTATAGCTTTAAACTCCTTTGAAAAAATGAATTTAATATTAAACAAATAGCAATTCAGGATTTGAATACATCAAAAGTAGTATCGATGCTTTGGCCATTCCTGATCATTGTGTCATTCCAGACTGATGCAGTAACTAATCTTCCTGATTTTAGTCTTTATCTTCCTGCAAAGAAAGAGGCATCTGCGTTTACTGAAATAGAGCCCCTAACGTTCCTTCCTTTTCTCCCACCATGTAAATTCCATTCTCTCTGTATTCATATTCTATGAATATTCCATTCTCAAAGACATCCTTAGGTAGTGTCTGGCATGCTGACAAGAGCGAGTCAGAAGAAAGAGCCACCATACAGAGGTGCAGCTCGACAGTGTGGAAGATTGGGCCACCTGGAATTGCACGAGTCTTAATCCATATAAACGTGGATTGAATTAATCCTGTGGAGCAGTGCAGTGGCGGAGGGAACTGCAGCTTTATAGAAAAGGTGCTGGAGGGAGGTCCTGGTGCACAGCAAGCTAAAGGTGACCCAGCAGTAGTGCAGGCAAATGAATCCTGGGCTGCATCAGCAGGAGCACAGCCAGCAGAGGGATGTGGTTATCCCAGGAAACCCAGCACCTGTTAGGCCACACCTGGAACATGGTGCCCAGTTCTGGGCTGCAACACTGGAGGGATTCCAGTGGAGAGCCACCAAGATAATCAGTGTTGGAGAAATCAGCATAGGAAAAAGAGGTTGCCAACTTGTTCAAGAGAAGGCTCAGGGTGATCAGACTGAAGTCTTACAATACCTAAAAGATAATTATGGAGAAGAGGCAGTGGGCACAAGGAGAAAATCCCATCTGCTTTATAAGAAAAGAATTTCACCATGAGAACAATTAAATACTGGAATAATTTGCTCAGAGAAGCTTTACAGGGCTCTGGGTAAACTAATCTAAGGCCCTGCTTTAAACACAGAGTTGGACCAGATGAAATCCCTTTCAGCCTAGGCTTTTCTGTGAGTCTATGATTCAAAATAAATAAAAAGCAAAGAATTTAATTAGCCTGATGTGCTGAAGGACAGATAATTTCAAAACCGTTCAACTGGATGGTATAAGCTTTGCTGCCATGGTCTAATGTGTATGCTTCCTTGAAACTTTGTTAATATAAACCTGTTAATTCCTCTCTACTTCTGTCCTCTCTTGGGTTCCTTTCTGGATATCAATCTTCTATAGCACTGGGCTTTGGAACAGTCTCTTAAATAACATAAACGTAGATGAAAAGATCAACCCGTAGGCCACCCAGTATATAAATAATAAATTAGTCTGTTGTGTGTTTGTTTTGTTTTGTTTTGTTTTTAACTTCTGTGCTCTTTAGGAAAAAGTTCCTGCATATTTGGCCACTTCTCCAATACCCACTGAAGACCAGTTCTTTAAAGAGAGTGACAATCATTTGAAATCGGGTGAAAATGAGAGGACATGTCCCAGCTCAGAAGTTCCACATGCTGCTGAAACAGAGACTGTATTCACCCCAGGTTCTGTGAAAAAGAAAAAAAGAAGAAGAAAGAAATACAAACAAGATAGCAGGAAGGAAGATCAAATCTCTTCTGCTGGAACAGAAGAAATTTTTGAAATGGAAATAAGCTCAGATGATGAGAAAGGTGCTCAGCCACTAAGGTAAACTATCAAATATTTGTGAAATCACAAATACTTGCTACCTGTTTGGTTTCACTGAAATTTTAGAGTGGTTCGTACCTCTCCTCTATACAAACTTATGAATAACTTGTCATAGTGAAGCTAACAAAATTTTCATCAAATACCAGCAGAAAGCAGATAAGACCTGTGAATATTTTTTATATTCTTTATTAAATAACTTATTACAACTGTGCATATACTTTAGAAATGTCATGCTGAAAGTGGATAAAGGCTACCCTGGTCTTAACTGTTTGTACCCTTTAGAAAAAAAACGAGAAGACTTTTTATTTTTTTTTAAACAGAAACTTTAGTAGGAATGCATTCTCAGTTGAAGATAGAAGTAAAGTATTATGATGCAAAAAATATGTGCATATATACACATGCTGTTACTAGACGTAGCCTCAGATTTCATAGCTTCAGAAAGGAAAAGGGAGATAAATGTTCTCCTTGGGAAAGTTTAAAATTTCTGCCACAGGCACAAACATAATTTCTTGACTAGTTCTGTTCTTATAAAGTGGGAAACAGGCTATTTCCTGTTCTTGAGAAAATCTTTTTCCAAATATTAATACAACATTTTAAAAATGTATTTTATAGCTATGCAAATCTTGAATATGTACTTAGAATATGTATAAAATAGATAAACATGGGAAGAAGTGATAGCAGTATTTATGAATGTGGAAAAATAGCTAGTTTAAAACTAGCAGTAGAAGTTATGATTACATGCACACTCATCTAGTATTAATCTTCCCTTCTTATTTTTAGTGGTCTTTAACTGCATCTGTATTTGTAACCTTAGTGATCAGCTTTCCTCACTGACAGATGAAATTTGGTTATATCATTCTTTGTGTCAACAAAGTTGGTGGCTAATTCCCACTGAATAAAATCTGTTTAGTGCCACCTATTTGTCATCTTTCCCCCTCCCAGATCAGAATATGGAGGATGTGTTTCTAGTTGTCTTCTAACTTGCTTAACTGATAATGCTTTTTGCCCCTTTTTGAAAGAACTGGACTTAGCACTGGACATAGCTTAAATAAGATGAAACTTACTTTTGTTGCTGTTAGTTAAGCTTATAAATATACAGGATGCAAAGTCACCGCTGCTGGTGCCTAATTAAATTTTCATAAAGGCAGTGATACCGAATAGGGAATGGAATGTATATGTTCCATGTTAAGAGTCAATAAACTGTCTTCCAAGTGAAAGATGTGTATGTATGATCACTGCAACTGATGCTTAGGATTAAAGAGCTGTATTGCATGAATGCGTAAACTGAGTAGGTAATTAATAGGTAATGTTAAAAACTTTAGTTTCTCTTATGGATGGGGAAAAGACGCATTAATAGAAGAAGAGGAGGGCTAGTGCAATTCTGTTGATGGATTTTTTTTTTTTTTCCTGATAGTACATTATATTAATTTGTATTGCTCTTCTCACTCAAATTTCCTGCTTGTCTTCCTTGTCTGATGTGCAGTGTGGTAACTATAATGCTCTTGCTTGAAAGTCAGAACTGAGAATATTCCTGAGGATAGTGATTCAATTACTTCATCTTTTTATAGCTTTCTGAAGTTATTTATGGTGCAAACGTATTGGTTATGCTAGTGTGATTTTCTAGTTCGATGGTAACTCACTGTGTATCAGAGTAGTAGATTTTTAAGCTCTTAACAATATTTTAAATATCAACAGTAGTTTTATTGCACTTCTTTGTTGTATGAAGACGCCTCAAGGCATTTATATGCTTTTTTTCCTTAATCTTGGGTTTTTAATGTGTTTATATATATATTTTAAACTGAATTAACAATACAGATAGCAGACTTATGTAATGTCTCATGTATCTTCCACAGAGGATCCTCAAATTCGTCACCAAAGGGTGAAGAACAGAAAGACACTTTGATTTATCACTCAAAGGATCATTACCCCTTATCTGATGGAGACTGGTCCCCTCTGGAGAAGTAAGTAGCTTTGCATACACAAGGTCATCACAAAGATTAGAATGATCACATACTGAAGTGCATTTTTGTTCAGTGTTTCCTCTGTAAAACTATCAGACATGTCTAACTTTGTCATATCAACTCCTGAATTTGGTACTTACTTGGAACTTTGGGAACTTTTTACGCTGTTTATACTCTATATTGAGTGAAATCTGTGTCTTTGTTAAAAAGATGAACAAAACTTTTCTTGCTCTAATTCACTGTCAAAGAAACAAAATACAATTCATTTGCTTAGATTGAAAAAGTAATCCCTGTGATTCAGCCTAGCATGTATAGCATAAATGGTGGTTGGCATGCTATAAAGCAAAAGTGTTAAGTATGAACTTTAGAATTTGCCAGGTAAAATAACTTCAAATAACACTTAGATAAAGCTAGGTCCTGAACTTGAGTTAGAATCCAGATTGGAACAGATAATTTTCTAGTTACCAGGATACCAACTGAGATAGCAACAGAGATACCAACAAAAGTAGCAGTTGATTCCATATTCTTTATCTGAATGCAGATAATACAGCCCCCCAATAACTTATGGATTACAGTGATCAGGACACTTCTGTTTATATGCTCCAGCTCTTCAATTATGCCCTTCAAGCTCCTATATTCTTCTTGCATTCCCTTTTTAGTTTTTTCAAGACTTGCGCTTTTCAAGAGTTTACTTTTCACCACTCCAGCATCATTTCCTGTCTGTGCACGGAAGTATTCTGTCTGTGAGACCTAGTTCTTGAGCCTTTGCCTTTGGAAAGCATTAGCTAGATTTCCTACTACACCCTTCCCTCTGCCTTGTGTATAATATACATACCATGAAGCAAGCTGCACAGCATCCTGGCTCATCTAGTTTTGCTACTTTTCAGTTTGTTTGGTGACTGCACCTCACAGCAGATGCCTTCGTAGTGTCTCTGGACATTGTTGTTCAGCCTTGCATGATACCCAGGTGTTGCATTTTTCCTGCTCTGTGCATAAGTGCCTGTTCTTCTGGTATAGATAGTAACTGAACGGAAGAGAAGACTTTAAGCTTCAGGACACGCTCTCTGAAGTGCACGTAATCTCTCTTTGTGGTGTTTCTGAGGCCACAGCCTCAATACAGTCTGAAGGTACCACACTATCAAGCTAACAACCACATCCTCAGCTGTACTTAGCGAGACATGATCTTCAAGCGTGCTCAAAGGATTTATGATGATCAAGCATCAGTGTTTGATCCTGAGGATTGACAGGGTGTCACAAGGACAGTGTCGCTTAGCCAGTCGTAGCACAGAGTCCTTTATCAAGGCAGGTTGATATTCCTTCTCAGTTTTTCAAACTGTAGGTAACATAGATGAACAGGTTATGTCTAGGAGACGTGGTTTATCCCTCGCTCAATTTTGGAGTTGCAAAGGCTGTCCTGAGAAATCAAATCAGATATTGCTGCTTCTTTCCGACTATAATGTTGATGGAGTGTTGTGTGTGTGTGTGTGTGTGTGTGTTTTGTCCCTTACAGGATAGTATATCCAGCTGCATCCATTTCAACATTTGGACACCATCTGAGAGTAATTCCCCAGAATCCTACAGAAATTCTGTCTTTTTCTCGCCCGGAGCCCTAACAATAACAGTTCTTTTAATAAGCACAGAGCAAGAAGAGTTCTTTACCTTTGAGATATCTTTCCTTTGCAAGAAGAAGGAAGGGGAAATGACCATCCAGAAAATTGTTAATGAAGAAAGAGGGAAAAAAAAATCTCTTAATTTTTTATTTTATTTATTTATTTATTTATTTTATCCTCAAACACTGAATGCTGGAAGTAAGAAGCAAGATCGCAGATTGTATCTTGTAGACTTGTTTGAATTTCCTGCTGCCTTACATTTTCTGGTATCTCTCAGGTTCATGTGAAAAATAGACTAGTGGTGCCTGTACTGTCCTATTCTTAACATCTTTTGACTAGAAAAGCTGTAGCACTGAGCAATTTAATCTTGAGGTTAGTGTAAGATTTTTAGTTATGTGGTGTTTATATGTAAACGCGCTGTGAATTATAAAGGTACAAAGAGGACAGGAATTTAAGCTAATTTCTCTCTCTATTTTTGATAGTAGCTAAACTCTTATTTTTTTCCTTGCTGTTGTTTTTTGTGGATTTGTGTGTGTGTGTGTGTGTTTTTGTTTGGTTGGTTGTTTTGTGGTTTTTTTTGTTTGTTTTTGTTTTTTGTTTCTGATGGAAGGTGAAGTGAGGGGAGTTATACGTACGCTAAGGATATAGTTGGAAAATCTGTATAGGGTGATCAGTATGTAAGTCCCTTAATGTGATTTTAGTTTTAACCTAATTTCTCACTGTCTGAAACCCCAGCTGGGCATCTTGCCCTGTTGCTGAATAATCAAAGCTCTGTTAAGCCAGAGAGAACTCTACCAACACTAGCTGCACGACAAATGCATTTTAAACACTGAAGCTTTCTTTTTTTGTTTTGCTAGCCCTTTCTCTGAGCCAGTCTGCCCTAAAAGTGATTCAGAGCTAGAAGTTAAACCTGCTGAGAGCTTGCTTAGATCTGAATCTCATATGGAATGGACATGGGGAGGATTCCCAGAATCAACCAAGGTAAATTTATATATTGCCTGGAAGTCTAGAAACTGAATTTTTGCTCATCTAAAGGACCTAAAGGATGCAGGAAATCTCCTGCTCTTACACTTAGCAGTTCCCCTGGAATGGGAAATGAGCACCCTCTTGAGGCTGACTGATAGTGAGCACGTTGTTTTACAAAGCAAAGTTATTCCAGAAAACACAATAGTCAAAATCTGTAATTTTAAGATTTTGTTAGATACTAAAGAAAGCAACTGTAGCAATTCATTTTCTTTATTTCTTTTGATCAAAGTTGTAGTTCATTCCAGAGAAATAGGAGCCTTGATTAAGTAAACTTGGTATCTAACATGACAACTGATAGTGTGTCTGTATTTATGCCTTTTCTTGTCCTGACTTGATCAAGTCAGAATTTTCCCAGCACAGTTTTCCTTACTGAACTTGTGAGCTAGTATGTAGCTTCCAATGAAGGAAACTGCTAATTAGATGAGCTATATTTTATGTTGTATTTAAACACAACAAAAATTGTTGTTGTTATAAATGCAACAAAACTGTTGTATTTTCTGTCTGAACTTACTGACAAAATTCCTGTAAGTGCAAGTTTAATGTTTAGACTAGTCTAAACCAAACGATATGAGAAATGAAAGGATTGATAAGAGTTTTATTTTTCAGATAAGCAAGAAGGAAAAACTTGAGCATCCCAGAACAGCTACCATTACCCCATCAGAAAAGACTCATTTTAGGGTCATCCTCAGCTCTGATGAAGTTGAAGACGATGATGTGGTGAAAGAGTCAGTCTGCACAGTCCTCAAACCTGAACCAAGAACTCATCCTCTGCTTAAGCAGATGAATGTTAAAGATTCTGTTGCTTCTGCTGTCACAGAACCACAAGATTCATTACCATTAGATGCTGATCATCATTCCAGACTGGTGGATCCATCAGCAGAAACAAAGCCACCAGCAAAAATTGACTCCCCTTCGAAAAAGAAAGGTATATAATAAAACTTTTTTCTCTTCCTCTGATGTTAGCTGCCAATATGAAGCAATTCTAGGAAAAGTAGAAATGTAGCTTTCCTATTTAAAGTGTTACCTGACTGGAACTGTAATTAAACTCTGAAATTTATAAATGCTATGAGTAAATCTGAGTTTTCCACAATTATATTTCTATTTGATGTGTCTGGATAGGTTCTTCCCAGTAATCTTAATTGTCAAATTGACAGGGGTACACAAGCGAAGTCATCATCAGGGGCCTGATGATATCTACTTGGATGACCTAAAGGCTTTGGAGCCTGAAGTTGCAGCACTTTACTTTCCCAAAAGGTAATTCTGAATTGATTTTCTATGGATTTAGGCTAGTATTCATGTTGAACTACATAAATTGTTACATGTATGATTTAAGTGTTCATGGTTTACTACAGATAACTCCTGCAGTATTGGACTCCAGGTTTCTGTACTTTTGTGAAATCAGCATTGATCAATGTTGATCTTTTTGCAGAAAACTCTTTCTGATTTGGCAAGAAATACACTGAAATATCATATGGAAGATCCTTTACTGAGAGATCTCTGTCTTCATAGAACTAGTGCTCTGCTTCTGTTTTTTATGAGATTAAAGCATTCTATACTCTGAAAATATTCCCCAGCAGAATAACTGTCTAGGAAGATCTTTGTAAAAATGAAAAATGTCTAGATCCTATTGGTTTATTTAAAATTAAGTTGTAAACTTTCACTATATGTGTCAGGAGGGAACTGATAGATACAGGAGGAATTAAATGAAAAAAAAGTTTTCTTACTAAATTTAATACTATAGATTGTTGATTGAAGTAATACATTTCTTACTAATTACATTATTCATGATCATATAACTACTTGTAATCTTAAATGACAGCATGATATTATTTGAAGGGGTGTTTTGCATTGTCCACTTTCCAAATACACTGCATTCTAAAAGCATAAAGCACTGTCTTCTTTCCTTCATTCTTATTGTACAATATTCTGATGGAGGAGCATAGTATTGTTCTGGGACAATAGAATGTAGAGGGTCTTTTCTCCATATTAAACCCAGTTTTGTTGCAGGCAAGAGCCATGTAATTAATTTAGATAACTGTTAGGAAGAGGAAAACTGAAAACTTTCAGTCTTACAGTATTATGAAATGTTTGGGCTTTTTACTTCTTTTTTTCTTAAATCATATAGTACTTGAAAGGAATCCTGTAGCAAGATGAATTTTTAAGTAACTCCTTGTACACTGTGTTCTATAATATAAAATGTTTATTCATAAGTGAAATACAATGGAAAATGTGGATCTCTCTTTAGTGATTCTGACCCAGGCTTCAGGCAGTGGACGGAGTCTGATACCCTTTCTGGTTCCCAGTCACCACAATCCGTAGGAAGTGCTGCTGCTGATAGTGGCACAGAGTGCTTGTCAGATTCTGCTATGGACTTGCCTGATGTCACACTGTCGCTCTGTGGTGGTCTTAATGAAAATGGAGAGATTTCTAAAGGTATGTAAAAAGCTCAGCAAAAATGGCAGTAAAGCTCAGATAAATTAGTGACTTAAATATTCTTGAGGAAAGTTTGGCTTATAATTATGCTCCTGATGAGAAAAGAGAACTAGGAAACTGATTTTCTATATCCACCAGTAGAATAAAATTGCTTGCACTGTAAAATTCAGAAGTATTTGGCAAGCAGAGCAATTGTGCAAAAACAAATCAGTCAAGAGAACTAAATTCTTAAAGCTTATCTCCTTCATTGGTCAGATACATAGTATGTAATGCAATCACACTTGTTTCTAGTTGCTGTTGCTTCCTTTGCCCAATATATATCTTTATAAACAATATTTTATCCTATTCCTCGATAAGTTTTCTTCTTTCTATTGCTTTAAGCAATTAGAAGAGTAAAAAATGCCACTGTCTTATCTCTTGCTCTTCTACTATCGCAAATATTTGTGAACTCACATCTTTCTCACCAGTTGACTTTTTTTCTTAAAGCTCCCACTTATTTTAATATGGAAGTTAACTCTATGCATGTTTGGAGCAGCTTCTGCAAGCATCTAATTTTCATGAACATGTAAAGTAGATAAAAAACAGCACTTCTAGTGCTGCAGTACATTTCATTTGATGCATTAGAAATTCTTTTATTAATGAAGACCCAGAACACTAGGACTTGATTTAAAAAAAAAAAAAAAAAAAAAGTTGGTACATCATCTGTGCACAGGACTTGTGCTAAATTATTATTTTATACAAATCCATATAGTTGCTAATCATGAGAGTGCAATTAGTTACAGATGTTTAAAAACAACAAAGCAAAACAAACAACGTTCCCTGCCCATTAATTTTAGTGTTGCCATAATAATTTTAAAGTCAATTTGCTTAGACGAGCACCTCTCTCTTTGTGCAGCCTGGGCACCAAATCATTTCCTACCTCCTCTTAATCCCTTATGTCTCATTACTGTGATTGTTGAAGCAAATAAGTGGTGTGAGGCAGTCCTTGTGTCATTAGATTGCAGGTAGGTCATATTAACCCCACTTGTCTAATGGTGCAAGAACAGCAAAGACTCTGAAATACCAGAAGATATTTTCCTTGATACACACTAACCAGACTTCTTGGGGGTGGTTATTATTTTTAATTAATACAAAGTATTTCTATTGCAGAAAAATTCATGGAACATATTATTACCTATCATGAATTTGCCGAAAATCCAGGACTCATAGACAATCCTAATCTGGTAATAAGGATTTATAACAGGTAAATTCTCTACATAATGTAATTATTGTATGGATTACCCTTAAAATCTCCTCTTTAAAGAGCATTTCTCAGGTGATTTGTACTTTTGATGGAACAACTTTTTGGTCTTACAGAGAATGATTTTTGAACTGCAGTTCTACATTAAATTTAGCTTTGACTGAAGCAAGATTTTGCAATGATTACCACTAATAATACCAGTTGCTTGTAGCAAACTTTAGTATTAGTTGTTGGCATCAAATAGACGTCTTTTCATTAAGAAATGTTTTCATTAAGGTGTTTTGCATGCTAATTCACAACATTTGAATGCATTAATCAATAATGTGTTTTGAAACAGGTATTATAATTGGGCATTGGCTGCTCCAATGATTTTGAGTTTGCAGGTGTTTCAGAAAAGTTTGCCCAAGGTAAATAGACTTTTTTTTTTTCTTGAAACATTTTGCATGTAATAAATGATTCTGTCTTTATTTTCTACACAACTTAAAACATATCTAAATTAAACTAAATATTTTCAGGCTACAGTTGAGTCTTGGGTCAAAGAAAAAATGCCAAAGAAGTCTGGAAGGTGGTGGTTCTGGCGCAAGAGAGAGAGCATGACTAAACAGGTAATTGAAAGCTACTTTGATTTGGATTCACTTGGCCATTAAAAGAGGGAGGAAAAAAAAGGTCTGCACTATGTCTTGTAATGCTTCTCATGCAGCTTTCTATCCCTTCCTACCAGCTGTGAGTTATTCAGTGTTGTAGTTAGCTACTTCTGTATATTTAAAGTCTCAAATACCACTCTGTATTCACTCTCTAGGTGGTTCAAACGAATAAAACTTCCTCAAGATATTAGACAAGTTTAGTTGTTGCACAGTGTTATTAAGATCCTTCCTTTTAATTCATAATCATTGTCAGAGCTACTCTTCAGACACTGCAGTGTGTTTTAGGAATGTATACAAAAATAAAAAAGAAGATGCTGTGCAGTGTAACTGATGTCATGCTGAGCTATCCCATTTTAGATTGAACTTAATTCAAAGCCTGAGTGGGCATCTATGAAACTTAATAAAAAAATAAACAACCCTGTGTAGAGCATGGCAGCTAAAATTTATGAAGTTAGAGGTGTTTGGTTGGGAGCCTCCTTAATGCCAAATTCATCATCTTAAACTAATCCTTCATAATGTCTGGCCTGCAAAGTTCAGTTTCCTGGAAAAATGAAAAGCTTTAATAGATCATTTCTTTCTAAGGATACTTTTATTAAGTAATCGAATAAACAATTCTGAGCACTTAATATAGTCTATGAACTATACTGCTAGCAATTTGCTTATATGTGAACTATGCATTTTCTTGGATCAGTTAAAGATTCTTAAAATGGCAATATGTTCTTTATTATTGTGTTATTTTAGATACCAGAGGCAAAGGAGGGGAAATCTGAGACGCAGAGAGCAAATGAGCTGCCAGCAACTATAAAAGAGCAAGTTAATAGTAGGTGTGTTTCTGTCTGAAGACTATTTTGTGGACTGAAAAACTGTCTCTCTCTCTTTAATGAAGTATCGAGTAGGAATTTATTGTGGGAAGAAACATTTCTCTCTGAGCTATTGAACAGAAAACAGATGTCTTTGGCAAACAATTTAGGAAAAAAAAAGTGCAGCAAACAGTGCAGGAACTTACAAGTACACTACAATTATTTCCTAAATTCTATTGTGTTTACTTCTTAAATCTTAACCTAACTGACAGAGAAATAAAGACATATATGGTAACCTTTAGCAGCAAACCACTACCCTGTGATTTATTAAACATAGTGGGACTCTTTCTGGGCTATTGTTTCTCTCTCTCTTTTTTTTTTTTTCTGTAAAATCCTAATATTGTTTGAATAACTTGAACCATCTGCCATTTTTGTTGTCACATGAAATAATTGAAACAATAAAATGGTATTAATTACTGTGTATGAGTTGCCCAAGATTGCAGTTGAAAACTAGAAGTATCTAGCACAAAACTGTGCATACTTAGATTCTCCCATGATTTTACAAAGATATTTTAGAGAGTTGTCAATGCCTTAAAGATTTAAGTAATGATTTATGTTGTGATTGGTTACTTGAGAGAAACTAAATGCTTTTAATCATGAAATCTCTAATTAGCAGAGAAATAAGTCTGTGATAAGCTTGAAAGGTGAGCTACTCCACTAACACACCATCCCCCAGTTCAAATTAGGTAGTAACTGGCTTTTTTTCTTTTTTTTTTAAGCAAAATACTGTTGCTTGTTCTGTATCCCTTGTGTCTCTACTAAACCCATTGTGCGGGTGCAGCTCGAGTGTGCGTAGTAGTCTCTAGAGTTCCACCGGGAGCAGTTTGCACGACAAGCCTGACTTGTTTATTGACGTGTTCTGGCTTTATCTGGGCATTCACTAGACCATGGGCTTCATTTGTTTGAACCATCAAGCTAATGTTGAGTCCTTCACATTAGCAAAAATGAATCTTGCATAAGAATATACAAATCTTAAACCACTAAAGAAGAGTTTGATACACCTTCCATCTTTTCTGACTGGTGTCATATTAGACCTGCAGAGGATGATTCTTCTAGTGATGAAGCGTCACAAGAATTGAAAGAATCCCTGAAAATAGACTCTGTCCCAGTGGAGCTTCCAACCCATGGGAACACTCCATCTTATAAGAAGTCGCTCAGACTATCTTCAGACCAAATAGTAAGTGGTGTAGAATTGAACATAGAATGATTCAGAATTCTACTCTGTGTGTAATTCCAAAAGTTGGGCTTTTTCTTCTTAAGTAATGCATAAACACATTTCACGAAGTCAGAAGTGATTCAGCCGTTAATTTTTTTGGCATTGAAATAAATGAATAGGATCTCCTTAAAGCATGCTCCTCTTCTGGTGCTAATGTGGGCAGTTGCAGGGAAGAATTGTTTCTTTTTCCTGTTGGTTTTTGCTTTTAAGAATCATAATTCTGTGTTTGGATAACAAGGGATAATTTCTTACAAATTTCTATAATTCGACTTCTATATTAAGAGATTATGATGCCAAAAGGTGACATTGTAGCCTTCTGTAATTCGGATACCTTAACATTATGTTGCTGTACTTTGCTCTGCTTATTCGGTCTAACTTGCAGGTTAGTTCTGTGGCAACCTAAATACATTATCTCCTTTATCAAGAAAGAATTTTGAAACACCACCCACCAAGCCAGAAGTGTGACTGCATGCTCGGTTTGTGTGCATGCTCACCGTATGCAACTCTCACTTTTCTAGTGCTCTTCCTGTATTACTACATTACTAGTCAGCTCTACGCAGACATGGAAGTAAGAGAAACCATGTGTACCCAGACTACAGAACAGACTGTGATTCACTTTTTGACCAGTTAATCAGGGTGGTTGAGGAAGAACATTTGAGCCATTTTCTGTAGCTCTTCTGCAAGTCAAAAGTTCTAAAATGAAGGCAATTTATATTTTTAATTATTTTGATTTATTTGAAAGGCAAAGCTGAAGCTCAGAGACGGCCCTAATGATGTGGTATTTAGCATTACAACTCAGTATCAAGGGACTTGTCGGTGTGCAGGAACAATATATCTTTGGAACTGGAATGACAAAATCATCATATCGGACATTGATGGAACAATAACCAAGTAAGTATTAGTGTGGTTTTCTTTTTTCCTTTTCTTTGTGTTTGACATTTTATTTTCCTTTATTATTGTTCTTCCTTTTGTAAGCAGGCAAGGAAGCTTGATTTAGAAAAATGCAAAGGAATGCTTAATAAAAGTTCTAAAACATGCTTGCTGCTTTGACTTCAATTTGTACTCATATTTACAGCAAACTAGAAAGAGCATTTTAAAAGAATAATGCAGGATGTTGATGTTTACTGTGTAAGTGCTTGCCTTCTGGTGAGACTTCTCTAGGTTTAACACCTATAGGTTAACCTGGAAACTGAGTTATGCCATATGGCCCTACTAATTGCCCAGTCTGGGCTGGTTACTGATTCTCTGTAGAAACACCTAGGACTTTCTGCAATAATATTTCTGTAAATATTCATTGTAAATCATATGTGCATTGATAATTGTCTTTAACAAAACTTGTATATTTCATTTCAGCTCTCTTTGGTTTTGCTTCTAGGTCTGATGCTTTAGGGCAGATCCTCCCACAGCTTGGCAAGGACTGGACTCATCAGGGCATTGCCAAACTTTATCATTCTATAAATGAGTATGTATCCAACCTATGAAGCAGCTAGGGTTTTTTTTGTTTGTTTTTTCTTTTGTTTTGGAACATGGGAATTAATGGGTGGGTAATTGGATTGTTGATAATTACTCAGTGTATTACAGTTCATCAACCTAAATGATGGCAAGTGAACTATTTGACATTCACAAACAAAGCTAGGATGTTCCCTCTGAGGTAGACTTTGGTAGAAATGGAAGCCACCACTTTTAATAGCCCCTTTTTCAAACATTTCATTCTGCACTGACTTCTTAAAAATTGTAATACTGTTGGGATTGCAAAAGGGAAGATAAGAGCTTTGGAACCGCTGTGGATGTGTTTATTGCCAACAATTCAGATCACTCATAAAGCCCTCTAGAAATACAGTCCAGTATATATTCAGACCCAAACTGTGTTCTCCTAATACATGAATATTTTGTGCTTCAATGTGTTTGCTACCAAACTCAAGCAAATGCTCCTCAGGATATGATTTCTCATTCTGAAACATGCCTAATTACAACTTGCCACAGCCACAGAGGGAAAGTGAGTGGCCTGAATCCTACCTCCAGTTGTGTATGTATAAGCTGTGTACAGTGTTCTATAACAAATGAGCTTACGGAGTCTGCAGGTTTTTATTTAGGGACTTGATGAATGCTCATTGTTTTGCTTCCTTCTGTAAGAGCTGCAAATTCTGACAACAACCTGAAAGTGAACAATCAGCACTGGAAATCTGCTATCCAGTGTTACGTGTGAAGAATACAATTAAATACTTGCCTTTCAAGTAATTTAGAATCACTGATCTTGCACAATTTAGTCCATCAAACGGTCATCTTACTAGTATCATCTTTGTTCTTTTTTTTCTTTTTCCTGCATACTGTTTCTCAGGCTTCATTTCAGCTTGTGTATTTAAACTCCTCTATGCCTTTCCGATTGGGAGCAGGCATCTTTTTCTGTATGTTTGTGCAGCTCACCACAACAAGCCATTATCTAATGGGTGCATCTGCACATTGCCAGAACAGAATATTTTTCTTGTCAAGGAATATCTTCAGCAAGAATATGAACTAAGTTGGAAATTCTTTTCTAGAAACGGCTACAAGTTTCTGTACTGTTCTGCTCGTGCCATTGGAATGGCAGATATGACCAGAGGGTACCTGCACTGGGTGAATGACAAAGGAACGATTCTCCCGAGGGGTCCTCTCATGTTGTCTCCCAGCAGTTTGTTCTCTGCCTTTCATAGGTAAGCACTGGGATTTCCTGTACCCAGGATAGGGGCAGAACCAAAAAAAAAAAAAATAGTAGTAGTTTAAAATTTTGTCGAGATGCTGAATTAGACTTTATACCTGTAACCTACCATTCTGCCCCTGTGCTAGATTTGCTGATGAGACTTGATGTCCATTTGGGAATCATTTCTAAGCTATTGTTTCTTCTGGGTTTCATGCATAGTATGCTTTTGTTTAAAGTGGCTACAAAATACAAAATAGAAGTTATAGGCTCTTTGCCTGTCCTTCAAACCCTCGCTAGTGACTATTAGTAACTAGTAAAATGTATTTTTGGAACTTCTTTTTTTTTAAATACAGTTGCAAGGGTTCTAGTACAATGCTATTACACAAGGTGGTGTATTTTGACGGAGAAGCTGAGGAAATACTGAATGATCTTCGAATCTTGGGAGTGTTCCATACATAAATATTACAGAGCAATGTGGAGTTTAGTTATAGTTTGACACAATTAATTTTGGGAAGAGCTAGTAGTGTAAAACTCTCTCTGTTTTGTGGGGAAGGGGGAGTTGCTCATTTGTTTTAATAAAATAAAAATGAACTGATTCATGATGACATCAGCTTCCATTAGGGTCATCAATAATCCTTCCGCAGGCTTTTGGCCAGGGCGAAGTTGTAGCAGGCTGCTGTGTGCTACCCCTGATTCAGATGGTCATCTAGAACAAAGCAGTTCTCAAACTCCATTAGTGACCTTGGAATGTTAGTTAACCTATTTAGTCACCTATATTTTATCACAGATGTTGAAAAACAGGGCATATTTCATTGGTTCTTGTATCTTGAAAAACTATTTGCCAATGTCTATGTAACTAGCAAAAGGAAGCAATGACAATACAAATACCAGATAAACAGGGGAAGGAGGACACCCAGTATCAATTTGTGATTTAGAATGTGACTGTTCAAATTTTATTTTAGGGAAGTAATAGAAAAGAAGCCTGAAAAGTTCAAAATCGAATGTTTGAATGATATCAAGAATTTGTTTGCTCCTAGTAAACAACCTTTCTATGCTGCTTTTGGAAACAGGCCCAATGTAAGTCTGTCCCTTTCTAATTGAAGGGTTAAAATGCATGAAATACTTGGGAAGCAAAAGAAATAGGATTTTCATTTTGTGTCTGTTTGAATACCTTAAGTAAAAGCTAATACAACGGCTTATGTGCAGAAGGTTGTGAAGATGTATTAGTATTCTCAAGATTTTATTCAATATGTAACACCTTTTCTTCTTCTTCTTTTTCAGCCTATTTGACAGCTTTATAACTCATGATTATTTGAATTGGTTTTATCCTGATTTTTTTTTCTTTTTTTCAGTCATACAGTTGTTGTAGTTTCTCTGTTGCTCAGTGCTATTGTAATTAAGTTAGTGAGAGGGGATATTCCAAAGAGGAGAACTGAGTATTGTCACAGGGGATAGTATTGTGTGGTACAGATTTTGTGCGTGTTTGTGGTACCAAGTTGGGGAACAAGGCTCAGGGGATTTGATGGGGGAACAGAGGAGGAGACAAGGAAGTGGTGGGGGAAGGAATGTTCGATTTTTAAGGGACAGTTTTGCTCTATTCTTTTGAACCAGCTTTTATATCAGTTTTCTTATTCCTTCAAGACTGATGGTGCTTCTTCTGTGCTTTTGCTCATTTTCTTCTGTTTATTTTCCTGTACTGTTTGCAGGATGTGTATGCCTACATGCAAGTGGGAGTTCCAGACTGTAGGATATTTACTGTGAACCCAAAGGGTGAACTGATCCAGGAACGGACCAAGGGAAACAAATCCTCGTAAGTTTATTTTTATTATTTTAGTTAGAAAAAGTATCTAGGAGTGAGATTAGAAAATAATTGTCACTGTGACAATGATGATCTTATGATCTTCTATTACAAAATTTGAATACTCTATTTGCTGTAAACTTTCAGCTTTGGATACCTAGCTGTGGCTTTTCAAAAGGAAAAGTAAACTGGCAAAATAAAATTGAAAATCATTTTTGCAGTAGTGCTGCCTTATTCACTGTAGACTTCTGGACAAGACTTCTAAAGCTCTTTTTGGCTACAGCTGAGCAGTGACTAGACAGTGGAATAATGGTCTTTCTTCTCTTTTAATATAGGTATTTCAGACTAAGTGAGCTTGTGGAACATGTGTTCCCATTGCTTAATAAAGAACAGAGTTCTGCCTTTCCGTGCCCAGAATTCAGCTCCTTCTGCTACTGGAGAGAGCCTCTTCCTGACCTGAACATGGAAGACCTCGTCTGAAAAGCACTCCTCTCCTAGAAGTGGGATTTCATGTCAGCTATTCAACTTCAGTTTAAATGTGAAGAACTTCCTTAACAAAGATGCTAATTTATATACTGGGTACCATAAGTGTTACTAAAGAAATCACTTTAACTGTCAGTTTGAGACAAAGAAAATGCAAAGCTGCTATTTTTTTTTTCTTGACGTGGTTTTGTGGGTTTCTTGTTTTGCTTGGTTTTCCTGCCGCGCTTGTCTGTGCGTAACTGTTCTGAGGCGCGTGGGATCGGCCTGTCCGTGCTGACAGTGGCACCCAAGTGTTTCATGACAATTAAATGCTGAGGTAAACTATGACTTTGCATTTTCATCAGTACAGACCTTATGGTAAGCATAGACTTTTGTATTAGTCTTAATAGTTTATTTTTTAAAAAGAAGCCAAAAAGGATATAGAAACTGCCAAATATAATGTCAGACTTATTAATAAAAGCACGGTCTAATGTTCAGGTGGATAATTAGGCCATTTATAAAGGAGCCAGAAGCTAAGAACTCTTTCTCAAATACAGAAAATGTGTAAACATTAACAGCCCGATAGGCTCTGAAGACATAAATATCCTCATTAAATGTAAATATGCCTTTTTCACATGTACGAGACTGTGCTTGTACAGTTCATGCTCAGACAAACTTTGCTTACTTTTTTAAACATGCAGAGCATAAACCATTCCCTGAGCTTGTTGAAATGAAAGTGGTCTTCAGATACTCGTATGGCTTTTGTTGTTTCCAGGCTGCGCTGTTTTATGTTATATTTCGATCAAGAGAAATCTTGGAAGAGTTCTTTAAGAGTTGGGGAACTGGCATTTTTATTTCACTTTTCAGCACGGAGATGCATATGTGCTTGTATGCTGTGTAGGCCAGTAAAAACTGTGTACAGATTATATTCAGGGAATTGTAATACTAAGAAAATGATGTATTTAATTTTTTAATTATCTAGTGCAGGTCTTTCCAGAATACTGTATTGCAGGTTTTCAGTAGCTGGAAGGAAGTGCAGCACAATAGTGAGATTCTAGGTATGAGAATGGTTTAAATGCTGCAGTACAGAATGAAACTTTTTTTTTTTTTTTCCTCCTCCTCCTTTTGAGTAATTTGTGAGCATTATGCTGGTCATTCCTCAGGTTCAGATCAGAGCCTGCAAACAAACTGCATTTCCAGTCCAGTATTTATCAGCTGTAAAGCCACCTAGTACTTCTCTCTCTAATAGTACTGGAAGGCAAAAAGCTCTGCTTTTTAAGTTGAGTGAGTGCATTTAACTTCCTTAGGACAAATCTATAATGAGAATCTGTGTTTTCAGCCTAGAGGGTTGTAGGATTATGGTCCCGTAAGTGTCTCAGTCCTCCTGGGCTTCTTGTGGCCCGCAGCCCATTTGGGTCAATACCGCAGATTTCCAGCAGGGTTTGGCGGGCCCTGCTCGCCCTGTGCAGCTCCCTGTGGTGCTGGGAAGGCAGCGACGCCGCGGCCGCTCAGCCTCCTCGGGCCAGGCAGGGCAGAGCAGCAGCTCGTGCTGTCTGTTCTTCGCAAACACTGCGCTGAGAGCGTCTCCCAGCCCGCAGGCAGCTTCTCTCCATGGGCTGAGCAGCCTTTACCGTGTGGGTGTCCTGTGCCAGCAGTCAGGGCTAGGTGACTGGGGACCTGATTGGGAGGCAGCTTCTGGATCATCAGATAACGAAGTTGCACTTCAATTCTTTCGTTTCAAAGCTTCAGTGTATTGCTGTGTCCACAAAATATTAAGGAACGGGGGGTGAACAGAGTCTTCCTTTCCAAGGAGCAGGAGTGAGGGACTGGGAAAGGAGATGGGAGATGTCCCTGCCTAGAGATGGGAGATGTCCCTGCCTGTAACTGGTGCCAGGTGAATAAGTGAATTGAAAGACGGCCTCATTCTTGTACTGAGCCCTGTGCTGGCTGTGGCTGTGCTTGCCTGGGCCACCAGCCTGCTCGCCCTTCCACTGGGCTTTGTAGGACTCCGTTCCCCTCAGAGCCTGTCTTGCCCTCCTGCAGATTCCTCTTTTGCCCTGGCAGAAGCTTATAAACGTCATTCCAGGTGCTTCTTCCTTTCTCTTCTTACCTTGTGTTCCATAAGTATTCTTATTAGAAAAAAAAAGAAATTTTCATGATCACTAAGAGCTTTGAAAACTAATGAGATTTGGGCTTTAAGTGGCTTAAATACTTTGGACAGGTTATTACCAAGTTTTGACTGCATCTTTCTTGATCTTTTTTTTCTTTTTTTCTAACTTGATTAATTTTTTTTCTTAACTTGAATGCTGCTTATCCTTTCAGATTGTCATAGATAAGCCAGGGATTTTACAATGGGGACTTGTGTATCTGATCAGTGTGAAATTTAATATCATATACGTCTCCAAATGCATATCATTTAAGATGGTGTGGATTACAGGGTTGTGTGGTTATGGAGAGCTCCTCATTCTGCTAAACTCTTATTTTGCATTATAGTGATCTCCAAAAAGCAGCTTAGTTAAAAACTTTGCTTTTCCAATCTCTCAGTAATAGCTGTAAATTTGATTTTTTTTTTGATAAAGTGTAAAACTGTTGAGTTTCTCTGGTGCAAATATGGTGGTTTTTTTGTCTTTAATTTGGAAATAACTTCTGTTTGAAGCTTTGTTCAGATTTTTTAATCCTCTTTAGGGACAGAACTGGGGGAGCACCATTCCTGTCATTGCATACCTACTTAATTTGGATGCCTGGGCACTTTACAGGCTCTAGAAAAGACATCTCATTACTACGAAACCACAGGCTTGTGCTGCAATATTAATATGAAGTGGAGTAGATAAGAAAAACGTGTTAGCTTTTTTTTTTTTTTTTTTTGTTACCTTAGTCAAGAGAGGTGGTCTGAAACTAATGTTTAAAAACAAGTTGTGCTGTCCTTCTTTAGAATTAGCACAAACTAAATCATTCTTTCTATGAAAGAGGAACTTCTAAGTGTATCTGTCTGAGGGCACATACACATTGAGACTGTGTTGTTGAAGATGCAGATCCTCGTGGCATTGGAACCGCGTCAGGAGTCGAGGCCGTGATACGGATCTGGGGGAGATGAGGAACGTTGCAGTTTGTCATGTTCATCACTTAAACATTGCCCATTTCTGCAATTAAGGGTTAGCAATTTATTTTTTTTGCATGAAAGTGATAAACATGCTGGTATTTTTTTTTTCTTTTTTGCTCTACTGTACTTTATATCTGCACTTCAGAAAAGGTTGGGCTTTCATCCCACTAAGGATGCAGTTGCATGTGTAGCTTTGGCTCACACTTCCTGTCATCAGAATATTCCTTTAAAAGCCTTTTTTTCTTTCTTTCTCTTTCTTTTTTTTTTTCTTTTCCCAACTGGCAAGCTTTTAACACTTGTGTCAACTCAACTATGGAACTTCTGAAGCAACCTCTTAATCAGCTCATGGTAGAGCCAGAAGGGGTGATAGGAGATCTCATGTTAATATTTCATACAAGTCTTGTACAAAATACTCTCAGATGAGTGAGAGTTGTTTTAAATGACTGTAGTGACTGTAGTGCAAATAATGAAAGCATCAAAAATGCAAAGTGAAGTTGAGATGCCTTTAAAGTGTCACTTTTACCGAAAAAGAAATTTCTTAGTTTCCAAAGTTAAATCCCACTGAATAGTTTTTTTTTACAGTGTTAATGATTTCCAAATAAAAGTTACATTTATGTTGAATGTGTGGAATATTTGATTGTTAGACAACCCAATCTCTAATAAGATGGTGTGTTTCAAATTGTCAAATCTGTGACCATACAATACAGTTGTTTCTGTTGATACTGGACTATCCTGGGTGCAGTAACCCACACTTTGGTGCAATGTTTATTGATGTTCAGAACAATGTTACCACAATAAACAAACTTAAACTAAAGATTTTCTTCAGTTTGTACTCTTGAAGTTTTCATTAAGGCCTTGGAACTTGGGGATCAGATAGAGGAGGTCATGAATGAAGGCCCATCTACAGAGCTGTCTACACAGAGGCAGTCAGGTCCATGCTGTGAGAAAAGGAGCACCTGGAAGAAGCAGCGGGTGATTGTCGTGGGTGACTCCATGCTACAGGGCACGGAGGCACCAATATGTAGACCGGACCCCTCCTCCAGAGAGGTCTGCTGCTTGCCAGGGGCCTGAATAAAGAATGTCACAGAAAGGCTTCCAAGGCTCGTTCAGGAGTCTGACTATTACCCGGTCGTACTGTTTCACGTGGGCACAAATGATGCCATGGGGAAACTGAGGGATATCAAGCGAGACTTCAGAGCCCTAGGGATGGCCACCAAAGGTAAGGGAGCCCAGGTAGTGTTCTCCTCTATCCTGTCAAGGAGGGGAATGGATTCAAGGAGGAGAAGGCGGATATGGCAGATTAACAACTGGCCGCGCCGCTGGGCTTGGCAACAGGGTTTTGGCTTCTATGACCGTGGGACTCTGTTTTATGATCACCAGCTCATGGGGAATGATGGGAACCACCTCAGCAAGAGGGGCACACACCTCTTTGCCAAAAGGCTGGCCAACCTGGTTAGAA